GCAGCAAATAACTGTCTCAAAATTAAACACTTATAGAATTAAGAAGAAATTCACAACTCCATCATCATTTTGGGAAGTTTTAACATACCTTGTTCAGTAACTCATGAACCTAGCAATTAAAAACTCAGTAACAATACCTAAAATTGGAATAGCATAATAAATTAGCTTCACCTAAGGGACATATAAAATATGCATGCAATGCGTGCAACTATAATACAATCGGAGAAAACACATTCTTTTCAAGTGGACACCGGACATTTCTGAAAATCGATCATGTACTCGGCCATAAAGCTAGGCTCAACAAATGTCAAAGGATTGGTATCAGATTCTCTGACCATAAAGCCATTGAATTGAAAGCTAATAATGACAAAAACAAAACACTAGGCACCTGAAAATTTAAAAGCACATTTTAAAATAGCTCATGGATTACATTAAAAAATCATGAAGGCAATTACCTAATGCTTCACATTGCATAACAAAATAACTACATAACAAAGTTTATGGAATGTAGGTAAGTGGGTACATAGAGAGAACCTATAACCTTAGATGCTTAAGACTAGAAAAAAAGACTAAAAATTAATAAGCTAAGCATCCGAACTCAAGGAATTAGAAAAAAAAAATCTACAAGTCAAAGCAAAAGTAAAAAAACACAGAAATTCCTGAAACAGAAAACAAATACATCTAAAAAAGATTAAGAAAGCCAAAAGCACACAACTAGACTGAAGAACAAAAAGACAGCAGCTTGTCTGTTCCCCTTCCCCCAATTCCCCAATAAAAATCTTTAAAATAAATAAATAAATAAATAATAAAAAATAAAAAAAATAAAAATCTTTTTAAAAATAAATAAATACATAAATAAAAAAGAAAGCCAAAAGCAGTGTTTTTGAATAAATAAAAGTGAGAAACCTCTGGTAAGATTGTTAAAGAAAACAGAGGGGCACAAATTATTTTGCGCATGAAAACCAGGACATAACTGCAGATACTGCTGAGATTTGACAGAAAATAAGAGGATTTTATGAACAATGTTAAATGTTATGTGGAAAACTTTTAAAACAAATTAAATGGAAAAATTCATTAAAAAATAAAACTTCCACAAAAGACCCCAAATAGCCAAAGCAATCCTGAGAAAGAGAAGGAAAGCCAGAGGCATCCCGCTTCCTGATTTCAAATTGTATTACAAAGCTATAGTAAACAAAACAGCATGGTAGCAGCATAGAAACAGATGTGTAGACCAACGGAACACAAATAAGAGCCTAGAAATAAAAACCCACGCAGAGATGGTCCACTGACATCTGGCAAGGGAGCCAAGAATATTCAGTGGGGAAAGGATGGTCTCTTCAGTCAATGGAGCTGGGAAACTGGATAACCACTGGCAGAAGAGCGAGGCCGCACCCCTAGCTTACACTACTCACCAAAGTGAACACGAAACAAATTAAAGACTTAAATTTAAGTACCAAAAGGTTGGAAACAATCCAAATATCCAGCAACAGGAATCTGATTGAGTAAATTATGGAACCACGATACAATGGAAAATTATACACTGTAAAAAAGATACACCTTCAAGATACAAAGTTAAGAGAATAAAACAAGGTGCAGAATAGTGCAAATACTATGCTACATGCATTAAAAGGGGAAGAAGAATAAAAACATGCATTTATATTGTATAAAGAAACTGGAAAGATAGACAAGAAACTAATAAAAATAATCATGGGAGGCGAGAGATGGAGTGAGGGGGCGAGTAGAGGGGATAAGAATGGAAACAAGATATTCTACGGTACTTTTTTTATTATTTTGATTTGAGACATGTGAGCGTATTTCTTATTAAAAATTATCTTAGTAATTGAGAGTTACTAAATTCAAAGGTATATATGTACGCATTAGTCAAAACTCAAATGATATAATGTGCATTTCATTACATGTATGTCTTTTATCTCAAAAGGGGGGAAAAAAAACCTAAATACTTACCTCTAGTTAATTATATGCATGCTAAATATTTAGGAAGAAGTGTACTGATGTCATGCCTGTAACTGACTTTGAAATTCATAAAAAAAATAAGATGAATCAGCGCGTGGATAGAGGGATGAATAAATATAAGATAAAGCCAAGTATCATAAACTGTTAATTGTGGAATCTAGGTGGTAGAAATAGGAATGGTCAGTATAAAATTCTTTCAACTTTTCTGTATGTTTGACAATTTCATAATAAAATGTTGTAAAATATTTTATTAAAATTTTAAAATAGAACTCATAAATCAATAACTTAACAAAAAAATGATCAAAGGCACAAACAGTATTTAATAGAAGACATGAATGTTCCATAAATATATGAAAAGTTAATTCAGCCCTACTTGTAATCAGGGAACTACAAATGAAAACCACCTTGAGATACCATTTCTTAGGCATCGGATTGGCAAAATTTTCCTCAGTACCAAGTGTTGAAGAGGATATGAAAATAACCCAAAGCCCAAACGTCCATTAATGTTACAATGCATTATTAAATCGTGGGACAGTCGCACAATGAAATGTGCTATGAAGCAGTGAGGGAGAATGAACTATTAATACCCTCAGCCACAGGGAAGAATCTCAAATACATTCTAAGTAACCGATGCCAAGTAATTAAAGAATACAGTCGGTATGATTCTATTGATACTAAGTTTAAAAACAGGCTAAACTAAACAATACGTTATATGCCACCATCACCTCTCACATGGGTAACTGCAGTAGTCTCCTTCTTGTTTCCCAGTTTCCGCCCTCTGACCGGTACCAGAGTGACCATTTTGAACCTACATTAGGCTAAGTGGTCCTTTGCTCAGAATCTCCCTCAAGGTTAAGGCCAAGAAGCCCGTACCAGCCCACTTGGCTCTGCCTCTCCAGTTCCCACTACCTCCATCTCTCTCCCTTGCTCAACCTGCTCCAGCCACACTGACCTCCTGGCTATTCCTGAAACTGGCCAAGCTGGCTGCAGCCTTGGACCCCTCAGAATCCACATGGCTCTCTCTCCCATCTCCTTCAGGTCAGGAACTCAAACCTCACATCACTGCATCAGAGAGGCTCACTGGGAAGCTCTATGTAAACAAAGTAGGAAAATCCTCCCCCACAAGCCGGCACTTCCTTTCTCCTTACCTCATTTATCAGGCTCCATCCAATCACCATCTAACTGACCAGATATTTCAGTAATTTAGTTAACCACGTGGGAAGAATTGTTATCTGTTTGCTTCCTACTATGCGCTCAACACGTAAAAGAATCCTAAGTAAGGGTTTAATGGTATCTGAATGAATGAACGACCTTTTTATAAAAGTAGTTTTTAAACAATCAGCATTTATTACAACATTAAGAAGTATTTCAATGTACCAAATCATAAATTGTGTTATTTCCACAAAGAGGCACGAAAAGACAAATTAAATATTAGCAGGTAACATATGAAGCATGTACGCTTTACTCTGAATGTGAGCCATTTGTTTCCAAAGGGAAGCAAAGAAATAGCTAGGAATCCAATTTGTAAGAAATTAAAAGCTGATTTTAAAGAAATCAAGAAAAGCAAAGTATGTCAGACTTTTACAAAGCAAAACTGAAACCAAGTTATCATTTGAATCCCAAACCTCCAACTAAATTAATGTACTCTTACTGTAAAGCTAAAGGAGAAACCATTTCCTAACTCAGCAAAACAATCATTTATTAGTTGCCAAGCCACCAGGGAAAAAAAGAAGGGCAAACAGTGAAGGCAGGAGGAGAATCTCGGATCATCTCCTACGAGCCTCCTTTTCACAGGAAAAGAATCTGAGGGCCTGAAATGGCCTGTGGGGAGCTCGAAAGCGTTCTGTGTCAAAATTAGCAATAATGGAAAAATACCAGGAGCAAAAGAACCATTTTGTTCGGTGGTGATCCTTGTTATAGTAAAATTTAGCTTTTATAGAATTAGAGACAAAATACATCTCCATGGAAACAATATTCTCAAGCATACATGTGAGGCTGAGAAGTATGTTTGTCTATGCAGGGCTTCATATCCTAAGTCTCCACACAGGATCAGGACTGAGGAGGGAGTGAAAAGAGCCAAGTTTTATCATTTCACAGGTCTGGACTTGAATTCTGGCCTTCCCAGAATCAAGTAGGATCTTACTGGATCTTCCTCAGTCTCGGCCCTATCAAAGCCCCAGATTTTATCAGCAAAATGGGGATAATTAAGACCTGTTTGTCAAGAATATAAAAAAGTACAAGTCTAATTCAGGGATTCATACATTTTGGCTACTGAGCGCAGGTTATCTGACATTTTATTCAGTTGCATAATGCTCGATTAAGAAACACCACCTCTGATTGCCTGTTAGTTTTATGATTAACATACTATCAATTAACTAGCCTATAATTGGAATTCTACTAAGAGCAGGGGAAAGAAGGTGCTATTGTGGCATCGGTAGGAATTTATCAATTAGTTGACAGCAGCCATCAGGTAAAGGAAAGGTTTGTTTGAGGTAAGACAGAAAGGTTGCTTAAGATTTTTTTTTAAGATGTAAAGTTGAGTGATCTGTTTCTGACTAGTCATGAAACCTGATCAACTGCACCGCCTCAAAACCGAAAGGGATCTCATAGGGCATCGGTAAGAACCCCCTCCACTGTATAATAGACTATATTAAATGACCACTTCTGCTTACAAGCTTCTAGTTTAAACCAGGCTCTCCCTCAAACTGATTGCAGTTTATTATATTTTCTGAGTCCTCCAATTATCAGAAAGGGCTTTTATTGCCCCACTTAGAATGGACAGGTGATGAAAAAAGTGGATATATAAGTGCCACACCACACTCATATACTTTCAGAAATAAAAATCTGTAAGTATTGTTTTCATTTGGGGGGTAAGAAAGGATATTATTCTATTTAATAACAATTCCATAATATAAAAGTCAAGGTCCAAAAACACACCTTGAGTCTTATATTTATATTCTCATTAACAAAATTTGTCTTTTAAACTCTGCCTAACTTACACGGAACACAACACAAAGAAAACATACCTGGGATGATATCATTGATATGCAAGAGAATTGTACTTTCAACACTTGCAAAACTACAAAGCTGTACTCCATCAAATCTTCCATCCCAGTTGCCAATAGGATTATCCTGGAAATTAAGCAATGGAATAAACTTTAAAACCCTCCTCAATAAAATGTCAATATTAAAGTCTGCATTTTCCATAAAAGGATCCTCCAAAACATTTTACACTGGTAAATTTTAACTGTTTTTCCAAAAGATAAAAAGAATATATCAGGAATAACTGCCACAAAAAGATATTTTGTTTTTGTTTGTTCATTTGTTTTTTTTTTGGGTTTTGTAAAAATGAGACAAGAATAATCAAGATATTGTAAATTCATAGATGAGCAAGGAGGCAAAAGTAATTGTCACACTTTACTGGATAACAAATACTAGCCTATATAATAACACCCACCTGCATGGGGAGATTTAATACACTCCTTCACCCAGAAATCTGCCCCTAATTAACCCTAGCTTGCTCTAACCGCTCCTTTACATTCCCCGAGCACTTAAATATTCCATTTGAACTCCCATATGCCTTTCTGTACATAGAAAGTCTATTTTCAATTGGTCTTTTGTCATTTTACAGGTATGTAAGAATTCCCTCCAAAAGAGATTTTTATATTTATTTCATATTCCAATGTAGCACCAGTTAGTACAGTGCTGTCCGTGGACTAGATTAAGACATGGCCAGTCAGACAAGTGCCGTGAGCACCAAGGTGAACAGCACGCTAAATGCCATTGGAAATAGGAGATGAAGAATGCGGCGTTTGCCAGAACTTCCCTTTCAAGGATCGCAGAAAAGGAGTTTGGAGGGAATGCCTGCACAAGCCAACAGGACAGCAAGGCAGGGGGAGAAGCTGGTGGGGCAAACCTCTAGGCAGCCTGAGCCTTCGAAGGAGAGAAAGGCCTACCCGGCTTCTGCCACGTTTGAGGCCCAAATGACCAGAAGCAAGGGAGACTAATGCCAATGACCAGTGGGCCTCTTTCTCCAAACTTCCCTTCGCCCAGCCCACAATCTCTCCTCTAACTTAACACTGAAAATGGAAGAACAGGGTTTGAAGGTGTGTACAATTGTTAGCCCTTCTGACAGAAGCACGGGCTGGACTCTGGCTCTAACTTTTCACATGGTAAATATTCAGTAAACGTCTGTCTAAACAACATAGTATCATTTGTCTAACTGATGGGTATCAAATAGAATTTTCTAGAACTTCCAAGCACCGGATAAGAGAAATTTATGCTAGAACATTCATACCCTACCAAAAAGCATACCTGAACAGATAAAAATAATCACCACAAACAGCATGAGCACAAGAGTCTATTTCTCACATCCTCCCCTAACTCATTCTAGTGTTTAATAATTCTGCATGAATTTCCTTCTTTATAACTAATGAACTCTTGTCCATATTTTCAATCTATGATCAAAATGTTCTCAGCCTTTTTCCTCTCCTTCTTTTAGTCCCACGGATCTCATTCAACTTCCCATATTGGAATGTACCCATTATTAACTAATATGATTGTAAGGTAACATTACAAACAAGCAAAACAAACAAAAGGACAAATGCTGTGTGATTCCACTTAGATGAGGTACCGAGCGCAGGCAAATTCAGAGAGACAGGAAGTAGAACGGTGGTTGTCCACATAACACGAGCTGAGGAGGCTGAGTGATGGGAGCTAGTGTTTAATGGGGACTGAGTTTCATTTTGGGAAGATGAAAAGGTTCTGGAGGTGGATGGTGATGATGGTTGTACAGCAATGTGGATGTACTTAATATGCCACTTAAAAATGGCTAACATGGTAAATTTCATGTTACATATATTTTAGCACAATAAAAAAATTTTTTTGAGTGAGTTACAGCCTAAGAAAATACTCTAATTGTCTTTTCTGGTAAAGCAATATGCTTTTCCTCTATTCAGGTGTTTTATGTAAATGAGTTTTGCACTACTCATTAAAATCAGATCAGCCAATAAAACTTTGGAAAATATTAGAAAACGAGAAACACAGATAACAAGGGAAAAAAAACCTTTTAAAATAAAGAAAAATAAGATGTTATGTAATATATTTGGGTGTATTTTTTTTTCTATTGGTCAGCTATCATACAGCAAATTTAAAAATGGGAACCATTACTCCAGTTTATTCAAATAGGAAAAAAGAGGAAATGTGATTCTCTATCTAGACTCTTGTCCCAGCATCAATATTCCTTTACCAAAGATAAATTAGAACATGTTCTTTAAATTACTCCAAATTAGCCTGCCTTAAATATTCAAAGTGTTTAATTTCTACCTAACTTGGTCATGAAACTATAGACACATTCACAAAGATAATGTAATCCCAAATTCCTTACCATGTCCACACCAACAAAATATCCTAAGCTTTCTTTTCCTGGCAAAACATCACAGAATATAACTGTTCCAGATTCTATAGTTTCTCCAAGCTTCAGAGAAACTCTGGAGTTTATTTCCAGGGGGGGAAGCTCCACCTGCCCCGTGTCCACTGGACCCGCGTAGTCGCTTTCCAATCCATTGTCATCGTCTTCTAGGAGTTCTAGCTTGTCCAACGCAACAAACACGCCACAGTCTTCATCACACTGAAACAGCTGCTTCCCTTGGTATACCCCATCAGTGAAACCTTGGCCCCGACCTTCATCCTAGTTTTTAAAAGAAGGAAGAAAAAGTTTGATAAGTAGGTAGAAAGTAGATAAATAGAAAGATGATCCATAAGAAAAAAAGACCTACTCTGGGGATTTCAGGGAAATCACTGAAAAAATTCTAAATGACACATAAAAAAATATAATTATTAGCAGTTGGTTTTGATTTTAGGGTGTTTAAGAAAAAATAAGGAAGACACTGTACTTGATGTGGAAATAAAATGAGTTGATCATTTCAAATCATAATTCCACTGTGAGAAAGCTGGGCTGGATTCTAGTCATTTTAACAATAATTTTGTCATAAAAAAGGTTACTTTAAAATAACAGTAACATTAGCTCCATTTATTAAGCGCATACTATATGCCAGGCACGGTGCTAAATCCCAAATCAATGTAACACAAAAACCCTGCGACCTATGTACTAGTATCACTATTTTACAGGTAAGGAAGCCCAGTCCGAGAAGTGGCTTCCATAAGTGACCTAGTAGCCAAGCTACTCACAGGCATAGCTGGGGTTCAAATCTCCAACTGTGTTAAACATCATTGCTTTAGAAAATCAAATCAAGAAGTAAGCAAGGCCTGAGATTCTACTTGCAAGAATGTCAAAATGTAACTGGCATTTAAGTTCTCGAGAATTAATATTAATTTTGAAAACACATCACAAGTTCTTGGTTCTCTTTTCAGTAGAAATAAATTCCCAGATGACTTTCACATATATTATCAGGAACAATTATCAGCAAGCTGAAACTGCTGCAATTTATTAAGAAAAAAATCGTATATCCAAATTCCATCACTCAGTAGCACACTTTAAGAAACACTGAGAAAGCTACAGGTGATCACATCACAAGATAATTAACGGTTCTGTGATTAATTAGTTTACAACTGGTCGAGTTCATTTTTAACACAGACAATGTTAACATTTCTCAGGTACGAAAGTCTTTAATAATCACACGTTCTGTTTGTATTCCTACCGTAGGATGTCATTTTTTAAAGCTGCCAAAGCATCATCTTTGTATCATCTCAATGTATCACTACAAAGTAGTAAATCCTAAGGATTATGAATTTTAAAAATCACAGAAGATGTCTGGGAACATATTTGGTATTTAAAGGGGAAAAAAATAAGTGCATGCATACAAAGACAGACAGACAGACAGACAGACAGACAGACAGACAGACACACACACACACACACACACACACACACACCTACAACAGTTTGGCAAACTTACCAGTAACTCGACTCCGAAGAAGATCCCTGACACTGTCCTCTCCGCTAACAAGGGTCCTCGGAAGCGCACGACTCCAGGAAACTTCTCTTCCCCAGATCTCAGCTGCACTCTCACCGTGCAACCCACATCTATTTGGAGGCCTTTACTTAGTCTGCTCCTGTCTTTAAACAGGCTGAGCCTCTCCTCGCAATTGGTGATTGCCAAAAGTAACTCTGTGAATTTTTCACTTATTTCTACCACATCCTTTTCATCAACAAACAGAACTGCGTGTGGCTGCTCTAGAATTTTTAATCCGATCTGATTTTTCTTGCCTTTTGCGGAGGGAATCCTCGAATGGCCCACGGAACGGTCTTGGATATACTGCCCTATACTCCCCTTTGGTACTTTAAGGAGCTTTTGTGTCTGTTTGTCTGTAACACTACATTCTTGAAGAAGTAAATAAAAAATCCGCTCTTCCCAGTAGGGTGAAGTAACTTTTTCTTGGCTCCATAAGCCTGAACTCATTGTGATATTCACTCCAAAATATTAACTCGAAAAAACGGGAACTACGGAGTTTGTAGTAAAACTGCAAAAGATCAATTCATTGGCAGTCCCACAGCAGGTTTTTAGCAATTTGGTGCCCATGCTGTAAAACGACAGCAAATCAGAATGCCTGGAGGACAAGCAAAAAGAAACTTTACTCTTCATTCTACATGAGCTTATGGTTAAAATGGCAGAAGCTAGTAAACATGAGCACGTTTACCACACACACACACACACACACACACACACACACACACACACACACACGCGCGCGCGCGCGCGTGCGCGCAATACTTCCAAAAATATCTAAAACGGATAAAAGACATATATTACTGATATCTACTGTAATTTTACATATTTAATTAAGGAGATTCAATTATTAAGTATCTTCAAAGACAATAATATTTCTTTTCAAGGCACTGAAGTTTATAAAATCAAATTCTAGTAAAATATCATATATATATACATATATATATATTCTGACATTTTTCAACTTTAAAAAGTAGCATTTTTAATAGATCCTGCCTAATTTAAAGGGATAAGCTGCTGCATTTAAACAAAAACCACATAAATCAAAGGCTATCATTTCTGTATGTACATAGTTTAAATAAAAAGTTATCCATCATAACCACTATGTTAAACATCTTTTATCAATAAAATATCATGGATCACATTCTGAAACTTTAACCACAATTCATTTATTTTGTGCCATATTTTGATAATGAAATATTTTATCTCTGACTCAAGTTTCATTTCCTTAATCTTATATATTTCATCCTAAGATAGGCAAATGTTAATCATATTAACCATAGCTATCATTTAATTTCTCACAATCGCAAATATCAGATATGGAAAATCTGATTATATTAAAGATACTGAAAAAAATCAATTCTGCAGTCATCAAAACTTGGACTGCTTAAAGAAAATATAATTGCAGTATGCTATCAAATACAAAACGCTCTTATTATCACACTTTTAGCTATGTATACTTGAAAGGAATACACAAAAGCTGACTTTCAGTTTCAAATGTTCATTTAAAATTGTTCAAGAATACTAATCTTTCACAATTAAAATGGCCTTTTCAACCCTACTTTGGTAATTAAAAACCAGACAATCTCATTAATTCAAATTAAGACTTTCATTATTTTAATGAATTAACTTACTGAAAACAACAGTTCCTATCTATTCTCTGTCACATGAATGTGGCTATTTGGTTTCTAAATACGATATTTATCCCATCCTTTGAGGGGTACCCATTTCCTTACTCTGGGCAACAGCAGCAGTTGACAGCACTATCGTACTTATCTATTTATCTATTTTGTTCTTGCAATTAAAGAGTAAATACTCCTAAAACTAAAGAACTGAATTTTAAGTTTAATCATTTAACTTAATGATTAAATAATCTGGCAAATCTATACACAGAATAACATTTCCTAATTTAGAACACATTGTAAGATAATGAGATATTCTATAATGATGTTTTTAAAACCCTGTCCCTCTAGGCGTCAGGGTGGGACGTGGAGATTCCCCAAGATGGGGTACAGTGGGGCACCCCTTCAAACCAACACTGTTGAAACATCTGTGCAACATTTAGTGAACACAGGGGCAGAGGCGGCATAAAGTGCTTCTGTCTCTTTTTCCTTTTCTTTTTTTCTCTGATGTGTTTGTCATAATTCCACTTGAGGGCACTGTCTCCTTCAGCAGGAATAGGATCAATTTATATTTGCCACTTATGTAAGACACCTGTGGACACCCCGATCTTGGCACCACAGAAACAAAACCCCCTATGAGGGCTACCCAAACAGCCACCCAAACACCTAATGTGCCCCTATTCCTCTAAAGCACCAAAACCAAGTGTTTGTTATTTCTGATTAAAATTCTTTTTCAGTTTTTCAGCAAGGAAATAGCCATATTTTTTCTTGATCACTGAATTATCGATATGATTATAAATTATTATGTGTGACTCTCAACAGCCAAAGGTGTTTGTCACTTTGTTAAAAGGCTTTAGACTGTGCTTTCGGAGTTCCTGGGTCTGCTTTCTATAGGCTGACTGACTACAATTTTCCCTTGCCATCGGCCATTTTCTGTGGTTTCCTGCAGTTATGTATTGACTCCCTTTTCAGCCTTGTTGCTTTTCAGATTACTGCTGCTAATCAGTTCTGGGAAGCCATGTGATGAAATATGTGTGTGTGTTTAAAAAACAAACAAAACAACAATAACAAAAACAGAATGCATAAATTCTGGAAAGGTCTTTTAAAGAGTCAAGTGTACAGCCTTCATTGTACAGACATATGCAATAATAATTAATATTTGGTTGCTTCCAGAAGGTTGAGATGGTCAAAAAGCAAGTTCTAATAAAGTGAATAGTTGTTTCATTCTCTTTAAATGTCTTGAAATATTTTTGCCGCCCGCCACTCCCCCCTAAATTTTTAAGTATGGCAATTCCATTTTGAAAAGAAATTATTTTTTAATTCCTAAAAATTATACCTTCCAATATTAAAATGAAGAACTTTCTTTAATCTTAATCATTATTATATGCCAACACTGCCTACTCTATTTATTGGTTCTCTAGCTTAATAATTCATGTCACAATTTAAAATCAAACCATCAGTGCTAATGAAATATTACAAAGACAAAACTAAATTACTATATGAATGCATATTTTAAATGAATTTGATTACAAAAATGTTTTCTGCAAATCACTTAAGGGACAGCCCACGGTAAAATTTGATATAACTACTTTGGTTTACAGAAAAGGGTAAGAGCAATTTAACAATGGTGATCAAGAACCATATTTTACAGTAAACTACACAAGAAGCAGTCGTTTTTCTCTAACTTGCATTAGCACAAGTGAAAGGAAGCTTAGACACAATAATTGTCATGTTAGACAATTAGAACAGCCAAAGCAAAAGTTATAAAATATTTAAGAAGCATTATCCAAAAATAAAAAGGGCATGGTCTTTCCTCTTTTAGAAAGAATACATTAAGAAAGAATAAGTTTGGAGCTATCATATTAAAAATTGATTCTCTTCATTGCAGCTGATAGAGAACACTGAATGGGGATCTTTATGGCTCTAGCCTAGAGGCATACAACAGGACACATTTAATGGTCACCAATATCTCAGTATAATGGCATTACAGCAGAAATATGGTAATAAGAGACTTTCTGTCCCTTTGGAAAGAATACCAACATTCTTCTTTCACTGGGATGTGCACAACAGCTAAATTATGTCTTAAGAACCCCTAGCAGTAAAAACTGACTCAATACTATCCGGGAAAGATTTAAATCACATTACCAATGAGCTCTTTATCACTCAAGAAGGTGTCAGTTTGTTTAGTTGGTTTTTTTTTTTTTTTTTGCATTCAGCAGTTAGACACTGAAAAGTACAGACGATATAAGATATGATGATGGCCCTCATTGGTGTTCTCTTACTACTTTTCAGGTCTAATTGTTTAAAAGTTGCCTCTAATAAAGTACACTTCACTTTGAGTGCTAATACATCACAAATGATTCATCTAAATACCATCGTACTTAGTGCAGCTTGGAAAACTGAGTGATCATGAATATCCTGACAATTGCTGTAAGTACTAAATGAAGATTACCAAAGCACTGGAATACAGCAATACATTTAACCCTAAAACCACACCGAACAGGAGGCCTTGCTTTTGACAACATTTGAGATGAGGAACAGTTCAGGGTCAAAAGATGTGAAAGTGTATCTGGTTATCTGAGCTTGTTGATGGTCTGGATTCTGAGTAAAGGAGAATTTAATTGTATTAAATAAAGTCATTAAACTAAGATGAGGGTTAGAGGACACAAATATTTACCAGTTTCCTTTCTATGCAAAAAAATGATGAAGAAATAAGTTTTATACAATGTTACAGGTCAGAATTACCACTCTAAAAGATAACATGTAGCACAAATAAACAGCATTAGCTACATAAAATTGATAATTGTTAACCTATCCAGAAGATAATGTCATTTTGATTCTCAAGTCATCCGGTTTAAATTTTTCAAAGAACTTCACTCTTAAACAAAACAAAAACAGCCCTAATTCAAGAACAGTTTGCATCTCCTGAGATATCCGACCTTGTTCTAAAAACCACAGGAGGCTATCGAAACCAGAATAAAAATTACAATACTAAAATCCTGTCCCTAATTATAAATGCAAAAAGGTGAGCAAAGCCAGCTTGATACCAAAGAAAGAAGACAATGGGACTTTTCCCAAACGCTTCTGAATAGTTAGAATAATTACCATTTTAAGAAAGGCTATCTCTCACTAAAGAACAAGTTGTTATGTTCCTTTACTGCAATACAGAGACTCCAAGACCAGGAGAGAGACAGCTTTAATTTTCCTCATGGATTAACTTGTGATCCAAGCACACAAATATTCAGTCCCTCAAAAAAAAAAAAAAAGGGATTTATAAGGTTAAAAAAATGTCTGGCTCCCACACCTGCAGACTCATGGCAGAAGGACAAGACTCTCTGCTGTCTCACTAGTGAAATCTGGCCACCACACTTCCAGATCGAATTCCCCAAATCCTTCATCTTTATATTTCTGGCGCCCAAACCTGTGCCTGCCAAATGGTAGGCATTCAAGACAGAAGAAATGAATGAATGACTTAATTAACTCAGGTGACAACAGTGGAAACCGAAATTCCATTTCCTCATCCTGTTTACTGATCAAAAGCTTTCTCCGGGTTAAAAGAAGAAAAAGAGAAAAGTAAAAGGCTCAAGAGTTGGGAGTATTTAATGATTTTTACTTAATTCCTGAAAAATAATAATTCTAATTCATAATGAAGTCACGGTCAATTTTTACACCACTTCATTATTACATACCTCAGAAGAGACAAATAAGGAAAATTTCACAATTAGGAAAACAACTTGTTTGAGGCTCATTTGAAACGCTTCCTAGATTCTCACACCATGTCTGGTGCCTATATATTCTGTATAACCAATAAAAAGAAGCTCAAAAATTTAAGATCATAGCGCAACAATCAGGAACAAAATACTAATAAGTTTGATGAACAGGGTAATTACTCCTTTCTCTCTTCTTGTGTTAAAAGACTTCCACAAATCAAACAAAATCACAGTTTAGGCCTGCCAGAGCACAAGCAATCACTGCTCCTGGATTTTTTTTTACATAACAAGTGCCCTGGTCTTACCAGCTCCTCACAAATGCTACCACCCAAAGGGACGGCTTCTCCCCAAGAATGCTACAAAATTTTGAAGCACATCATTAGAGAATGTTCTGGGTGTTACCAACATTCAAAGCACCCGAACTTCCACAAGCATTTCCAGCAAACCATTTTCTCCTAATAGCGTTCTAGTTCAAATCCACCCACTACCCAGTGGGGAACTGGCAGCTAAATTCTTCGGGCCATTCAGTCTGTTTGGGGTGTGAGGGGGCGTGCAGAAAACCAAAACTTGAATGAACGAACACCCTCTCTCAAGGCCTGGATTTTTCTCCTGGTGTCAATGGCTGCAACAGGGGACAATCTTATTAAGATCCTTATTAGCCAGAATTCAAAAGCAAGGTCGGGAACGCTCCTTAGCGGAGCTAAGGATACAACTTCCCAGGGAGCCAGGGATGATGGGGACTGGGAGGCCGAAAGGCTTGGTGGCTGGAAGATGACAACCACTCTAAAACATGCAAATGCCACGGGGTGGAACAGAAAAGATGCCAAGGCCGTGAATAACCGGGCAGCTGACCCAACTGAGAACCAAACTCGGGAACACTATCTTCCTTCAAGACCAGGATTTCCCCGCAGATCGTTAATATACGATAATAAGGAAAAACAAAAAGAAAAAGAATACCTTGTTTCAACAAAGCGCACCTTTCAACTAAAGAACTCCAGGTTGTGTAAAAACCATCCTCACCCTGCAAAGGGGGAAACTGAAAGAAAAAGCAGAACACGCCATTAACGAGGCCTGAACCCCAACTGCTTTTCCTGGACGGGAGCCACAAACACCCCCAAACCGATCCATCGATACGCCCCACGGCACCCAGATATGAGATATCACAGCCCGGGGCTCTCGATACCAACCCGGGCGGTCGGGAGCCGGCCAGAGGCCCGTGCCTCAGTTTCCCCACACGTAAATGCGGGGCCCAAGGGGGAGACAGCTTCCTGCGCTGCTCTCACCCCAAGTCCTCTGTTCTCCGGAGGTCCCGGCGAAGCCGACCACGCTCCCACCATCAGGAACCCTCTCTGGAGGGCCCGGGGGGGTGAGGAAGCCCCGGGCGTGGGGAAGCCCGGGCTGACGTCAGCGGGCTCAGCGCCCCGAGGGCCTGATCCGCTCGGAGCCGGGACAGCTAACGGGTCGGCCCGGAGGGCCCGACGGTCACAGCGGTGGCTCGAGACGCCCTGAGGCCGGGAAGGGGCGCCCGATGGGACTCAGCGGCCCAACGCTCGCCGGCTCGGCAGCCCGCTCGCTCACTCACCTCGGGCGGCGGGGCGTCGCCCCTTCCCCTTGTCTCTCTGGCCCCCGTTCCCGGCCGGCCCCAGCGCCCCACACCCACCGCCCTAATATTTACCTCCGACGCGCGGCCCCCGCGCAGCCGAACCTGCTACCTGGGCCCGCCCCCACCTGCCCCGCCTCCGATCCGCCAGGGAGAGAAGGAGGGGGCGGGGCGGTGGGCAACCGCCCCACTAACCAATCACAGCCCGAGCTGCGTTCCTGCGCACGCTCCGATTGGGCTACCCTGTGACAGCCCTTCCTCCAATGGCTGCCGGCCCGGAGCGGACTGTAGGGACTTTCCGCTCCGTCAAGCTCGGTGGAGCCAAAGGGAAAGCTGAGGGGCGGGGAGAAGAAGCGGAGGATGAGGGCGGGAGCTCTGGCTGATTGGGCGAGCGACTGTGGGGGCCGCGTCCCCGTTGGCTGGCACCGGGGCGGGGCGGGCCGTCGGTCCCGCCCACCGTTCCCCCGCTCCACCTCCGTTGCCCTGGTCTTGGCTCAAGGCTTAGCTGTCAAAACTCCCTGAGAGTTTGGGGCTGGGTTGGGGAGCAGTCCAAATGAGAGCTGGGAACAGGATTCCATGAAAAAGTAAAGCTTTAGGATCAGACCTAAGTTTGAATCCTTTGTGCTTTCAATAGGACCCGCGTGACCTGTGGAACTGACAACCACGCCTTCAGCCTCAATTTCCTCATCTGTAAAAGGGAGATAATCCTATCACCTGTCTTGCAAAGATTGTTGTGAAACAGCGCGTGTCAAGTTCCTGACGCACAGCAAGAGCTCAGTCATGTGAAGTCTCTTTCTCTCTCTCAGATTCGGCCTGGGACACTTGATGTTTCTGAACCTCTGTTGCCACCTATCCCAGGTTGGAGAGAGGTCTCCCCGGGGGGGGGGTGCAAAAGGAATTTCCACACCACACCTCACTCAGCTCTGCACCCCTGGCCACCAGCCAGGACTGGGGGTGTAGTTAAGGATCTTTCAATTAGAGGGGAGGTTTGTGATTCCCAAAAGTACTCAAAATATTTAAGGAGGTGCTTTTTATAATCAGTCCCAGAGCCTTGCAGCATGCTTTGCTGCACTGGATACTCCTGTTAATTAATTCCTTCTCCTTTGACATTTTAAGTACCAATTATAGGAGAAGGTGATTAATACTGAGGAAGGAAGAGGTAGGGGTGTGTGTGTGTGTGTGTGTGTGTGTGTGTGTGTGTGTGTGTGTGTGTGTTTAATCATGAGAGGGAAAATTTCCCCAGTGGAAAGTGATTATTTCTGCAGATCTGGGGAATTTAAACCAGTGAGTACATAAAAGAAGTCACATGAGTGATTGCTAACCGTACTAGTCAACAGGCCACCCATCTCCCTTGCTGTAAGCACCCAGAATGAAATGGATGTCTTTTGAAAACCTAAGCCTCGATCCGCTCTGGTCCCTCCTTAGGCCATCCTTATCCTGTTTCCCAAGCTTCATGACCACAACTGCCTAGAAAGCAATAAAATGGGAACCAACAGGCCTAGCTTGCAACGTGGCCTCGGGCCACACTGTTCCCCTTCTCCATCTAGATTCTCCAATAAAGCTGTGGGACTCAGAGGTCACAATCTGGCTGTCTGGGAGAAAAATTCAGCCCGAAGACTGTGTTTGCTTGACCTGTACAGTGAGGAGGAGGGAAAGAAAGAGGAAGTGGGGTGGGAGAGGGTGACTGCGAACCCTTTTAGACAGGGCAAGCACTCTCCCTTTCTCCCTTTTGCCACACTCCTCACCCATTCCTCCAGGTGCACTGCTCTCATTTACATGATCTCCTGGCCCCTGAGGCATTTGAGTTTGCCACCCCTGGACCCAGACATCTTCCTGTCCTTTGTGATGGTGGCGTTTGGTGCTGCTGAATACTCCGCTTCAGCAGTGTGTCCTTCCCACCAGCGGTGATCCGATCCCTTGCTTGGACCTCCTGTCACACGTTCCCTGAATGGACAGTGTCAGGGCCTGGTTTCATCCAAGAGATCGTCTTCCACGCCAGGCCTGATAAACAGAACTTATCTCCATTACTATCTCCTATCAATTGGTAATGGCTGCCTAACACATTGTGTTGAAAACAATTCTGAAGCGGTATTCAGGTTCACAGGGAAAGGAGACGTCTGCTAGGCGATGAGACGGGGAATGGTGTTATAGTGCTATTCTTTGCAGTCCTTGACAAGGCAGCCTCTCGTTTTACAGATGGGAGATCCACAGAAGGTCCAGAGAAGGGAAATAACTTGTCCCCAGTCACCCAGAAGATGAGCTGAGACCCTGCTTCTCCTGACTTCAAGCCAGGGCTCTTTTCACCTCTGTTTAAACAGATTCTTCTGCTGAAATGCCCATCCTCTCTGCCTTCCGAATCCTCCCTTCGTTTAAGACCCAGCCCAAGTCCACCCTCTTTGCAGGGTCTTTGCGGATGGCTCCAGGTCCCACTTGATTACCTGTCTATCCCCACGCAGTGGAACAGCCTGTTCCACTCAGCCTGGCTTTGGGTTCACACAACCGATGGTTGATGGTTGATGGTTGCGTTATGGGGCAGGTCATCAAGCAACACAGCAGCTACAAGAGGCCACTCTTGCCCTCTGGCAAGGAAGACAGACCTCAAACAACTAATTACAAGATCACTTAATTACCAAGGTTGGAGTGAGCCTCAGAAGGAGAATGGCTCTGAGTACACAGAAAAGGGGCGGGGCGGGGGGTGCGGTGCACTCAGGGAAGGCCTGTGTGAGGAAGTCACCTTTGAGATGAGGTGCGAAAGATGATTGATGGTGGGGGGTGAGGGGGAGCACTCAAGGCAAAGGGAACAGGAATCTGTGATGTGTTGAAGAAACTGAAAGAGGCAGAGCACAGAAAGTGTGGGCACAAAAGAGCCAGTAAGGCAGGACCCCGAGAGCCTGGGTAGGTGCTGGTCTTCACCCCAAGACAGTGGGAACCCTCAGAAGGGTTTTAAGCAGGACGGTCAACTGTGATTCTAAACTGTCTGGCATAGTTCTCTTATTGCATGCTGCAGGAGCTCTGCAAAAGGTCTTTGAATTGAATGACGCTCTCCATATCACGAGCTGGGAAACTTCTGGTAGCCTGGTACGGGCCTATAACTTAGAGTAACACCTAGTCAGGACTCAACAAACCTCAGCAGTAGCGGTCATGGTCTCTCATTAGACCCTGCCCCCACGCTTCCCAAATGGTACCACAGGCTGCCTCCCACGTCCAGCCTCACCAAAGTCGGTGTTTATGTCCTACTGTCCGCTCGGCATCTCCACGCCACACAGCCTAAAATGAATTACCGAGAGTCCCACTCCACTGCAATCCTCTGCTTCCCCCTCTGAAAATGGCAACTTCCAGCTGTTCATCCAGCCTCCCCAGGCTCCAGCCACTTCCCACCCCTCCTGTGAACAGGCACATTCACAATGAACTCCAAACCGTGGGCTAACGGGACCAGGCGCCCCACAGGCAGGGATACCGTACCCGGTGCTCTCTCCATGGTAGCCCAGCGGCATCGGTGTTTCAATCAGTGGGCGAGGTGAGAGTCGGCGTCTGCAATGCCCTTCTCTCTCAGTGAGCAGAAATGCCAGGGGCAATCAAACATTCTGTCTGGGGGCTTTCACGCTGGTCATCCAAAAGCTCTTTTTGATAAGATAAAAGGGATTACTTTAATCATCTTTAAACCCATCAGCTGAACTATAAATCCTGGGCTCTACTGTGGGAGCTGTTTGCTGGTGTCGATGACAAATGATTTCTGCGGGATTTGAAAAACACACATGTAGAGAAAAGGGGTCCAGTGTTCTTCATTGGGACCTTTGTGCTACATTTAGAACCCCATTTTGAGCGGTAGATGTGATCCTGTGTCCCAGGAAAACTTCCTCCCTTATGAAGGAGATGCTAATGTTGTCAGGAAAAAGGTGATTCATTATTATAACCTGCTCCAGCTTCTATTTTCTACCTCCCTTAAGTAGGGTGAATTCTCCATTCATTCAACACATAGTTGAGCACCTGCTATGTACTAGGCACCCTCTAGATGCTGAGGACACTGAAGGGAGCATGGTCCCTGTTCTCCTGGAGCTGCCATTCTAGGGGAAGGAAGAAACAAATGTCCACCAGGTAGCCCATGCTGAGAAGACAATAGTTGGCAGGGCAGGGGAGAAGATAATGGTTGGGGACTGCTATGTTAGGCGGGTTGTTCTGGGAAGGACTCCCTCCCTGAGGCGACATTTGAACAAAGACCTGTAGGAAACAAGGGAGTCAGCCCTGCCACTGTCCAGGAAAGAGTGTTCCTGTAAAAGAGTGTTCCTGTCCAGGAAAGAGTGTTCTTCAAGTTCTGGAAGCAGCAGTGTGGTTGGCATTGTCAAGGAACGGCCAAGAAGCAGCGTGGCTGGAGTGCAGAGATTGGGGGTCTGAGGGGCAAAGGGCAGCCAGGAAAAACACAGGGGTGGGCCAGGCCAGCATGAGACCTTGACTTTCGCCCTGGGTCACAGGGGAAGTCCTGGAGAGTTTAGATCAGAGCAGGGGCTGGTCTGACTTCTGTTTTAACGAGGGTCAAGGGCAGAAGCAGGGAGACCAGCCAGGAGACGGATGCAGCAATGCAGGCAAGGGTGGGCCCCAAAGGAGCCCCTTGTTTCCGGGGGGTGCAGGAGAGCAGGTGAGGAGGGGGAGAATGTGGGACTGAAGGTGTCAAGAAAGAAGTTGTTCCGTGTTAAAAAGGATGCAGCCAGCACTCCTGAAAGAAAGGATTTTCGGAGTGCTTGATATGTGGAAGGGTAATGCTTTAGGGGATTGGATACGTGGATTGTTCTGGAAGTGATGATAGGTGAGGTTAAATTTAGAGAAAAAATGAGGATCCAAAGATCTTGGATTGCATCTGCACAGCTGCAGTCTCCTACTCCCCCCCCCCTCCCACACACACACCCATACATCCCACATAATTCTCCAAGGGAAACTGCCCAAGCCGGTCCTCAGTGTCATTCATGACCTTGCTGTTCACCTGCAACCTGCCACCCAGGGCCTGAGGCTATGTGTCCCCCCTCCCCCATGTGCGGGCATTGCCAGGTATGTGCCCTGGCAGATGTGTGCTGCACCCACTGGGCTGCAGCAATCCCGACTGGGGAGGGAGACATGAAGCTGTGTTGGTGCAATAATGAAATGACGCTGTAGTCTCAACTCAGCCGGCTTGGAACCTGATTCTACCTCCCACATTTCTGTGGCGTGTATTCATTTCAGCATCTGGCTTTAGCACTGTGGGGGGAAAAACACTCAGATTGTCTTTTTTTTCCCTTCTAGGATGATGGTGGATATAATTAAAGTCTGAGGCTTTAAAAAAATACTCCTGCTCTGATACCTTTCTTTCTGCACATAAGAATTATGTATTCTTAGCCACAAATGTGGAATCTGTCTGCTCTTGGATAAGCCACTGGTTCCATGCACATACCTTTCAGGTATCCTCGCTATTAGAGAACTTGAAGATTAAGAGTCCTAGTTCACAAGTTTCGTGCACCTAGAATGCTTCTGGTGGCTCCACTGGACTTTGCAAAGTTAGGAAATGTCTCCTAGTCTGAGCCCCGACAGTAATCACATACCCAGATCTCAGTACCACTCTCACCTACGCCCTCTTGAATTCTTCCTCATAATCTCTCCCTGAGTTATGTCATCTGGACCCAAGGACCCCATCCCCCTTTTGATGCTGACACCCATGCTAGTCCATGTGGCAGTGACCTCTCCCACAGGCTCCAGGCTCACACCATAACCTGGTATTTTTGCTTGATTTCTCCACTTAGTTGTCTCAGATTGGACAATCCAAAACAAGTTCCACCCACTTCCAAACGTGTTTCCTACCTGTCTTTTCCAGTCTCCCAGTTTACTCAAGTCTAGGAGTCATCCTTTCCCTCATGCGTCTCATCCAATCCATTTGTAAAACCCTAGGAATCTGCCTCTAGAATGTCTCTGGAATCCATCGTCTTCTCTCCACATCCACTGGTGCCACCTGAGGCTGGCCAACTGCCTCTCATCTGCAATAGCTCCTGGGTGGTTCTAGGTTGTCTCCTTACTTCCTCTTCCTATCACCTTCTCTCCTATTCATTCCAGTCCCTTCTCCACCAAGGAACAAAAGAAATCTTTAAAGGTAACTGGGTTGCATCCCCGCTACTTGGAACTCTCCAATGGCTTGCCATTATTCTACGATCAAGACCAAGCTCTTGACCATGACCAGCTAAGCCCTTCACGACTGGCCCCACCTACGTGTTCAAACCCATCTGACAACACTCTCCCCTTAGCTCGCCTCAAACCATACTAGTTTCCTATGGCTACTATAATAAATAGCCACCAACTTGGTGGCTTAAAATGATGCAGATTTATTCTCTTACAGTCCTGGAGGCTAGAAATCAAACATGGGCTAGAACCAAGGCAGCAGCAGGCCTGCCTGCACTCCCCACAAAGGTTCTGAGGCAAACGCATCCTTGCCTTTTCCAGCTTCTAGAGCTGCATTCCTTGGTCCATGGGGCCCCCTACTCCACCTTCAAAGCCAGCAGTATAGCATCTTCCTTCAGTGTCACATTGCCATCTACTTCTGTATCTCCTTCTCTCTTACAATGATACCTGTGGTTGCACTTACAGTCTATTCAGGTCATCTACAATAAGCAATCTCCTCATCGCACAATCCCTAACTTAATCACATCTTTGGAGTCCCTTTGGCCGTAGAAGGCAACATTCGTGGGTCCCAGGGATTAGGACCTGGATATTTTAGGGGTCGTTATTCAGCCTCCCGCACACACCCAGCTCCTCCCCATGACAGGATGTTTGCACAGCTCGTTCCTGTGACTGGGGTGCTCCCTCTCCCCCCACATTCTTTGCATGGTCAGCCCCTTCTCATTCTTGGGGCCACAGCTCACCTGTCACCCCCTCACAGAACCAGCCCCCATCTGTAGGTTTCCCTCTATCTTGGACCTTTGTTGATTCCCCTCCTAGAACTCACCAGTGAACCTTATTTCATCCATTTTCCAGTTTGCTTGTTTTCTGCCTGCCTCTCCCTCTCCCCTCACCGTTCCTGCCATGAGGACAGGAACCACGCCTGTTTTGTTCATCCACCAACGGTCCTAATCTAACTGGCTCAATAAATCATTGCGGACTGAAACTCAGGAAGGCGAATTTATAATTCAAGATGGCGTTGTTCAAAGGTGCTGCTGTGTTCACTCCTCAGAGAAAGCAGGCCCGTCTCCCCCTTCCTCCTGATGTCCTCTGTCGGAAACAATGGTCAGACAGAGCCTAACGCCACCACCACCGAGAACCCACAGACACGCTCACACGCAGAAGCCCAGGGAAATGCTGAAGCATTTAATGATCCGGGCACACACGAAACCTTTCAAAGAAGTGGATTTCCCCTTTGGTAAGCAGCCACCTGAGCCCTTGCTCATTAAATGCAGCTAAGAATGATTGCAACAAGGCCTACCCAGGAGGCTGCTGCCTGAGGAAAGCTGTTCCTAAATCATCTCCATCCCTCTCCTGTGAAGAGACTCCTGGAGCCACTTAGAGGGGACCGAGTGGGGCCAGGGCCTTTCTCATTTGCAGGGGTCTTTCAGCCCTCTCTGCGGTGCCCACACAGTGTACAACAGCATGCCGGGTTAGACTCTTCCAAGCTGAAGCCAAACCTGTTTTGATGGCAAGGCTATTTCTAAGAATTTCTTTTGCCTTCAGCGATACATTATCTGGTCAAAAACATCATTTCCCCCCGTCAGGTAGAAAAATCGTGCTTTAATATTTGACACGTTGCAGGAACATTAAAAAAATGTTTGGCCATGATGAGGATAGCTTTGGTGACTCAACAGTTTTCTCCTCTGAGATCATTTACAGCATAACATTGATGGTCGTGGGTTTTTTCTTTACAAAAATATAAACTTAGGAGAATAAAACAAAGCAGTTTATAAATATTAACCAGTTCTCACAAATAATAATGTTGAACATAATAACACTTGCACAGGCATGACAGTTTACAAAGGCTACAACATGCATCCTTTTGAGAAATCTAGGAAAATATTTTTGCCTTATAAGCAAGGGCCTTTGATTTTTGACCCTGTAAACTTTTGATCCTTGACTTTATATCCGAAAGCATTGTGGCACAAAAAACAAAAACAAAAACAAAAAAAACCAGAACCATCTCTTGTGAATATATAGGAAGTCTGCTGTCAGAGTTCAGTTCGCCGGCACCAATCCGAAACCCATCAAGGCCATTCGAAGTTCTGGCGCAGATTAATTTTTAAAAGCTTCATTTGGATGGGGAGTCGTTTCCAGAGGCTTAACTGAAGAGCAATTGACTTCACAGGAAATAAAATCCACGTCTGATACCGGTTGTAGGTGGTCATATTTTTCTGGCAAATTGAGACTACCTTGGGGACTAAATGGCTGTCATGTGTGCCCTCCCAATAATGTCTTAAGTACCAGAAAGAAGAACAGGGTAAATTGTAGGCCCTCTCACCCTGGCAGGTAGGCAGGGCCTAGCTCCAAGGGAAATATCAAAGCTGAGAACACGGATATTCGGATATTCGCAATCTTCACCCACAGAGGAAGTTCCAGGACAAGCAGAGGGACCAGGTGTGGGAACAGCCTGGATGGTTGACCCACGTGTTGAGGCGGGGCAGAAGGTTTCTTCCTGTCCCTCACCCTCTCCCTCACCCTCCCATTGTGAGAGGAGTGGGAAGAGGCCTTTCAAGTGGATCCCGGTCTCTACCCCAATAGGCACTCAGTAACCTTTGTGGGCCCCGCTGACACACGTCACATCAGCTGCAGGCTGGCCCCATGACATAGAGGGGCTGCTCCTTTTCTCTGCCGGCGGACAGAATCGAGGGAAGAACTTGATGGCAGAAGTAGGCTTTGGAAACGTCTCTTCTGAAGGGCACTGATGCTCCTTCCTGCGCCAGGACCAAGGTGACCTACTGAGTTCGCCCTGAGCAGGGCGGGGCTCTGGCTGAACAGGCTGCTGCCAGAGGTGGTCCAGCTTCTGGGGTTCAAACCCACATCCCGCTCACCAACAAACTGAGAGCACGCTGGCCGCTGGCCGGGAGACATCAAAGCAAGAGTCTGGTGTCCCTGTGTCTGAGCTTCTCAATTTCCTCAGGAGAGAAAGTGTTTCCTCGGAGCCTTAAGGGGATAAAGCGAAGAGAGGCTGGAGTGAGGACAGAACCACAGCAGTGCTTTCCAAGGGGAAGCTGCCACTTTCTAAAGCTACAGCTGGGTGGCCTGCAGCTCTCCTGGAAGGGAAGTCTGTGCTGGCTTGACCCTCTGTCAGCCAGGATGGCTCATGAATCATTGCGCATGATGAAACAGGGCTCGGTGACTCTGCACGGGGAGCCCACACGGGACCCAGCCAGCCAGCCCGGCTCCCTAAGACCTGGGGTTCTTTTTAAGGCAACTGCGGAATCTGTGGAGAATGCAACGAGCCAGTCCTGATGCCCCGCCCCCAAGCGCCACCAACAGGCAGCAAATAACATCAGAACCCTTAAAATATCAACCTGATGCTGGCTTGCTCCCCCCAGACACAGAAAGTAACATTTCTTAGGGCTGTGTAATGATTTGAAAAAAACAAAACAAAACAAAACAAAAAACCCCACACTCGGCCCAGGACCCAAGGACCTCACAGGGTACAGGTATTACACAATCATACAGAAGATACTTTCGCCATCACAGGACAGATTTTTAGAAGTCTTTATTTTTAACTTCATCATTTGATATCTATGGTTGCTGCTGCCTTGATAGGTTTTATAACGGAGAGTCAAGTCTGCATATTTAAAGCAGAGTCACAAGCTCCCAGGGATGAGGCAAGTAATATATACAGCAGTCCCAGGGGTCTGGTCCGGACAACAGGCTTGGCAAGGACCAGTCATGTAGGGCCGGTTTGGCCCGCAGAGTGGAGCCAGTCCTTCCTCTATTTCGCTTAATTGCTGCCACTTTCAATGGGCGTCCAGAGCTGCCAGCTTTTTTGAGAAAACTTTGAAATATAGACTTTTATGGGGGAATCTCCTAGTTGTAAAGTACAGATGGACCCCAATTTGCAATGGTTCGACATGATTTTTCAACTCTACAATGGTGCAAAAGCAATACACATTCAGTAGAAGCCATAATTTGGATTTTGATCTTTTCCTGGGCCAGTGATACACAATGTGACCCACTCTTCTGACAAAGGGCAGCGGCAGCAAGGTGATTGTGCCCAGCTGTAGGCTAATGCACGTGTTCTGAGCACGTTTAGGGTAAGTGAGGCTCAGCTGTGATGTTCAGTAACCTAGGTGTAGTAAATGCATGTTTGACTTATGATATTTTCAACTTATGATGGGCTTATCAGGACGTAGCCCCACCGTAAGTCGAGGAGCATCTGTACTGGCTCCTAACTCTGTGCCTGAAATATACACAGTGGCATTCTCTCACAGCATGTTAAACCAGGGGAAACCTTTCTGCTTTCTCTCTGAGTGATAAATACATCCCAGGAAAGAAGGAGGACAAACTTTTGAAGTGGTGACTCAATGGTTTTTTTAAATACATGGACTATGGCTTTTAAGTATAAAGCCTTGGGTAGACTGTGTAACAGTTCCCGTCCCGTGTGACTTCCACCTAAAGCTGCACAGGGTCCAACACTTCAGCCTGGACCTGTGAGGGCAGCTGTAATGCCCAGAAGGGCAGGAGCTGCGTTCTTTTCTCTCTTTTACTCTTCAACCACACCCACCATTCCTAAACTATTGCCTAGAACAGAGAGGTTGCTGAATAAACACTCATGATTTTAAAATAAAAAGTTTGGTCCCTGCTCCGAGACATGAGGACATCTGTCCCAGACAAAGAACTAGATCTGTCATATGCAGAATGCCACTGAATGTCAGAGCCGAAAGGGATCTTAGACATTCTCAAGCTACTCTCTCCCCTCATCCCATTTTACAGAGTAGAAAACTGTAAACTCAGAGAAGTTAAAGAGGCCTGCCCAAGGGGCCTTACCAGACTTCCAGGATGGTGTCATTCCTTCCAAGGGCCTGCAGGAGGGTGTCTGCCCCAAGGTAGGTGACGCAGTTGTTGGACAGCCTGGAGAGGAAGGCGGAATGGTGAGCCTCAAGGATACCCGGGTCTCCTCTTGGGCCAATCCAATTAAAGGAGGCTTTCGAAGTTGGCGGCCTCCTGAAGCCCACCCGTCCCTTTGCCATGTCCTCCTCCTGTTGAGATTCCCAATGAGCTCAACAACAAAAGCTCAGTGCCTAAAGTGAAACGCACCCCTCTCTCTTCCGACCGCCAGATTCATTTACCTAAGTAAGTAGCTACTCCCTTCAAAGGTGCTCTTACAGTACATGGTAGTTAAAGATGTGCATTTTAACGCCAGGCTTCCTGGGTCCAAATCCAACTTACGCCACTTCCTTTTTGATCTCAAGCAAATTAATCCCAATTTCCTCATCTGTAAAATGGACCTAAAAGAGTACCCATCTCATGGAGATAACGATTAAACAAAGAATAGTTTGTTCTAAACCACTTGGCACCATCCTTACCTGATAGAAAACAATCAATGAACAGTAACATTTTCACTTGGGAGGGCCTTGGGGCATATAGGGACCTGGACTAGACAAAGCATGAGGCTAGAAATGGGCAGAGGAGATGGCACGCTGTCAGGGACATCAACGGAAGAGCAACTTGTTCCCCGTGCCGCTCCTTTGCTCGTAGCTTGCTTGGCCTTCTAGATAATCTCCACTAGCTGCCTTCCACCTCCTCCACAACTTTTGGAACTTCTCAGAAGCTGACCCCAAGGCAATGCTATTAATAATAATAGCCAAGAAAAAAAATAATTTTTTAATGGAACAAAAACTAGAAAAAAAAGAAAAATAATTTTATTTATTTTTTTAAATTTTATTGGGGGACAGCCATGGTCATTGGTTACACATGGCTTTCATGCTACAACGGCCTAGCTGATTCCTCTAGGGAGGGCGCAGCTCACAATGGCCCATGCAGGGATCAAACCAACAACCTTGGTGTTATCGGCACCACGCTCTAACCAACTAAGCTAACCAGTCACCCCCAAAAATAATTTTTTTAAAAAAGAAAAAATAATAACAGCCAATATTGGTGGAGCTTACTATGTGCCAGGTCATTACCATCTCAGTGCATGCTCACGGCCCTGTGAGGGTCCAATTATCATCCCCATTTACGCTTGGGACAACTGAGGCACTCGTCTAAGGGGCAACAGTTGGTAACGGTGGAGCTGGGGTCCAAACCCAGACTGTCAGGTTCCAGATCCTGGAACACTCGGCAGTTGGTTTAAAAGAAGGATGTAGGCATCTTTTGTATGGGGAGACAGTGGGTGGTGATATAGTTCCGAGATGCTGAATTATAAGGCTCTTGACACAGCAGCATGGGACAACCCCTGCTACCATTGCCTGGCATCGCTTGGGGACCACTGGGGTAAGTCTGTGACAATGAGGGAGGACAAATTCGCCACAACCACACCTGGCCAATAATAAAGCTACCGCCAAAGGCTCCCCCGTCTGCAAAGCCTGGTGTCCCAGCTGACAAATTGCGGCATCCCCGGAGCCTCCCAACCCACTCTGGCCCATGTGATCAGCGGAAGTGTTTCCCTAAACATTTGGCAACTGCCAGGCCCTGCAAACCAGCACACACAAGTGTTGCCAGAGTGGAAGGCAGGCTGGCAGCAGAGCAGACTCTCCCAGAGGCAGCTGTCTGCCTGTCTCTGAAGCGAGTGTTTTCCTCAGGCCATATTTGCCAGGGAAGATGCCACCCTCCCCTCATAAAAGGACCCATCTGGTGATGGCCTGGCATCCTGTGGCGCCATGGCTGCTGTGGCACCAGCCTCAGAGAGCACCGACACAAGCCTGTGACAGTCGCTAGCTGGGCCCTGCTCACGTCCACCATGCCTCTCCTTGTGGCATGGGCCCCTGCCTACCGAGTCCACCGCCAGTGGTCCCCGCATCCCTTGCCCTCCAGACCCCGCCCACCTCACCAGCTGTCTCCACTGCCCTCGGCCGGATCCAAGCCTCCTTCATCTCTTGCCTGGAAGACCGCAGGAGCCTCCTGGCTGGTCTCCCTGCTTCCATCTCACACCTTCCCGTCTGTTCGACACAAAGCAGCAAGCGTGATCTTTCTATGATGTAACTCAGACCACGTTGCTGTCCTCCTGGAAACCCTCCAAAGGCTTCTCAGTGCCCTTAGAATAAAATCCCAAATCCTCCCCATGGCGCTGAGGCCTCTGTGGCCCGCTCCTCGCGCCTCTGCCCCACTCCACTGGCCACTCCAGTCCGGCCATTGCACAGGCCCTCCTCTGTCTTCAAAGCCGTGGGGCTTGTTTCTGCTGTAGCTGTCCTGCTGCGCTGCCCACCAGAGACCTCAGCACGGCAGGGACCTTCCTGTTGTTCAGGTCCCAACTCAGATGCCACCTTGTCAGCGAGGCCTTGCCCGAGCAGCAGCAACCCCACCCTCGCCAGTCTCTCCATGTCGCATCTCCCTCTCAGATTCTCTTCAGAGCCCCTTATTACTCACAGAAGTGATCTTGTGTAGTTGCTTACTTGTTCATTATCTGTCTCTCCCATTAGAATCTAAGAGTTATGTGAGCAGGGGTCTGCCTTGTCTTTTTTATCATTCTATCCGCAGAGCCTTAAACAGGGCCTGGCACAGAGGGGATGCCTCGAAAAATGCATTGAAACATACGTGGATGGATGGATGGATGGATGGAAGGAAGGATGGATAGATGGATGATGGCAAGTACATGGATGGATGCACACACAAATAAAGCAAGCATGCCTGCCTGCATAACACAAGAGGAGTCACTGGAGATGGCTATCAGAAAGTCTCTTGCCTGAGCCACAGATGGCCCCTGGAGATGGGATGGGTCACTTCCTGTAAGCGCCACAGAAGCTGCTGTCGGCAACGTGCCCATATTCCCTCAGATTTCACCTCCAACTCTGGGAACTGCTTGCTGGGAAGACCTCCACTCTCTGCCAGAGACCTCGCTACTGACCCCGGGAGCATGCTCATCCATGTTCAGGGCAAGCCGGAAGTGCCAGAAAATTCGTATCCCCACAAGCACACTTCAACATATGAAGGACAGGCAGTTGGTGGGTAAATGCCCCCCTGCCTCGCGGCAGTACAACTGAGCCCCAGTTGTCCTCAGTGATAACTGGCTTGGTGACACAGCCTTTATCGGTTACCTTCCCTTCCTCGCCTCACTTCACTGCCTCTCACCAGTGTTTGCTGGGACCACCTCCCAAATACACAACTTGCACTAGAATCCCTGTCTGCGTTTGGGGGAAACCAGACAATCCCAGCCATTTCCTGCCAGGTCACCCTGTATGAGTCAGCCATGCTGGGAAGCTGCCCAGGTCTCTGATTCAGAAATAACGCCCCCCGCAACCCCCAATACTGGTCACTACTGTCTCAGATCCTGCTAACTGGCTCCTTACTTACTTCAGGACTTTCAAACTTGAATTTCTCTTAAGTCCTTCGGCGAGGGAGCACACACCTTCATCCTGGAGATGGTTCTCCTCCAGGCTGGCAAGAACAAGAAAGAAGACCCAGTTGATATGGTAACATTTATCATGGATGATGATATCACTAAGATGAACCACATGCCCCCCATTTAGAAAATCCAACATCGGAAAATCCACATTTACAAATAAAGTAAGAACAGACAAGGCAGGGTGTGAGGGTCTCCATGCCAGGGACATTTCGGGGAGAGAATTCTCCTCAAAGCTCTTTAAGAAGTCCCCTCATGTCCTAATAGCTCAATCTCCATTTTCCCTTTCTTATCAGTGGAAGTCTTAATTTCCTTTGGGGCAGCCATGTGCTTGGTGAAGAAATGACGCTCTGCACTGCAGCCACGGTTGGCCGAGAGACATCCACTTGGCCAGGAACACATACGGGAAGTTGAGAGAGAGGGCTCCTGGGGGTGCTCTCTAAAGGGGTGAGACACCTCTGGCCTGTGCCTTTCGCCCCTCCTGGATATACAGACTGTGTCCTAAAATACAGAAGTAACATTGTAGGTCCTGCAGTCACTTTGTGGTCCTGAGGCAACCAACCATCGGGATGAAGCCACAGACTGAGGATGTGATGGGACAGAGAGTCCAAACCCCTGCTGGTCTTGTGTAGCCACCATACCGGCCTATGCTGCCTAGCTCCAGAATGCTTGTACATGAAAAATAAATCCTTCACTGGTTTAAGCCACTATAGATGGAGGTTTTCCCTCAATTTGCAGCCTCATGTAGTTGTAACTGATACACTCACTGTGAGGCACTCCTCTAACGAGAACGTCCAAGTGGTAAAACCCAATCAAGATATAATCAATGGTACATTGCCAGTGACGCCTGCCACCTGCCAAGGCCCATCCACAATATCCATCTTGTGACAATACTCAGGGGCTTCAGTGCCCTCTGCTTCCTGGAAAAAATCAGCATTTTATCTCCCAGATGTAATCTGGAACTGCCCAGAACATGTCATAAGAAGACAGACTGGTGACATCTAAAGGACAGGAAACTTGGAATCAGTTTCAGGCCAACAGTGTATAAATAAGTAGGACTCATGGTTCATCTTTTAACTTCCCCCAAACTCCACTCCACTTTCCAAGGTGACTCCGACTCTAATATCCGGTGTTCGGAGGCACTCCCTTTCACTTGGAAAGGACAAAACATTACTAGGAGTATCAGTCATAGTTAACTAGTAGTCACTGTAACAGCAGCAGCAGCAGCAATAGAAGTAGTAATACTGTCACCATTACAATTTAACATTTATGAAGCACTTAAACATATTAAGCTCTTTACAGGAATTGCCTCATTTAATCCCTACGAAAGTGTTTCATAGTTAGAAGCGCTCACACCCTCATTTTATATGGAAGCAACCTGAGATTCAGGGATTGTTATAGAACTGGCCTAAGATCGCAGTGAAGTTCAGCCCACTTGTTTCCAGAGTCTGTGCTCTCAACCACTAGGCCACATGGAGGCAGTAAACAAACAAATAAAAAGAAGGAACGCCTACATGCCAGGTTCTATATGCTTCATCCCACTCAGGACGTTGCAAGACAAACACAGTCACCCAATCACTCAATCATACATCCTTGTCATGTCCACACAACTGCTTCCATGGATGAGGTCAGAGCAGGAAGCAAGGCTGTTATCTGTCTCCCCCAGAGCAGGGACACCCCGCCAAACTCACCAGAGTTCTTCCAGTGCCACATTCTTTTCCAACATCAATGCTAAGGCTTGAGCACCCACACTGCCAATGTTGTTCCCCACCAGGCTGGATAGAATCAAAGAACAAAAATGTGTCAGAGCAGGGAGGAACCTCAGAGAAAAGCTAACCATGGAGGGCGGGATGCATGGCACACGTACCCCCACTTCCTAGTCTGATCCATTTCAGACATCACTAATCGATTACCGTGCTCTTTTCCATCAAGCCCAAAGCAGCCTTAGAATCCTCCCCAACATGATGTGCTGGGCAGCCACTATCAAGGGGTTAGAGTTGGTCCTTGAAATAAAATGTATTTGATCCAGCCCAAGATCTTCAACTTACAGACAGGGAATCAAGACCTTTAAGAGGAGATGAGACATCTCCCAAGTCACCCAGAAAGGCTTAAGAGTCCTAACTCCAAATCCAATGGTCTTTCTTTCTCAATCCCACTGCCTAACAAAGGGGGGTAAAAATGAAGTCCAAAGACCTTCGTAACTGGCCCAGGCTCCTTCCTCCTTACGCTGGCTCCCCCATGACAACTGCAGGACAGACACTGAAGCTTACCTGAGCCACTTCAAGCTCTGGTGATCACCCAAGGCTTCAGCCAAGGCCTGGGCCCCCTGGTCACCCACCTTGTTGCCCCAGAACCTGAAAAGGCCAACAGATAGTACCAGTGAGTACCTGCTATGTGTTCTAGACAGGTGCATGTAATGCCTCTCCCCTCTACGGTCCCAGCCAGAGGGTCAGGACCCTGTAATCCCAGGAAGGTCTCAGTGGGGCTCCTAGGTCCCTGCAAAGTGGACCTGCCTACATCTTTTTGGAGAGATGGCCAAATTTCATTCAAATTTTTCATCTGCTTTAAATCACACTTACAAAACAGAAGCCCACCCAGCACGTACCCTTGAGGACAGGGAACTCACTCCCGATGCCGATTCACATGATTGTGACATTTAGATCAGATCTGCCTCCTGGTAACTGCACCCACAAGTCCTTAACTACTCTCTGGGACCACCCGGAACAAGTCTACCTCCCCTTCCCCGAGTCAGCTCTTTATCTCATGCTTAACATCCCTAGTTCCTTGATGGTGTCTAATTCCTGCACCTTCTGAGCCACTCTCCTCAGATCCACTGTAATTTGGAGACACTCCTTTTCAGGTGGAGCCTAGCTCACCCCTTAGGACCCAGCTATCTGACACATGGGACGTTAACCTGGACATGTACGTGCACAAGTGAGCAAAGACAGCTGAGCTGGGATGTTCACTGCACTTTCATTCATTAGGTAAATATTTATTGAGCTCCGGCCGTGTGCCCCAGGGATAGGACACTGCAATAGCAAAAACCCTGGAAACCACCTCAGTGTGCACCCACACGAGACCAGTAAGCTAGACTACAAGGCCACCCAGCCAGTGGAATACGAAGCAGCTGTTCTCTAAAAAAAAATGAGGTCATATGATGTGAAAAGATGCCTTAACACATTGTTGAGCAAAAGTACAAGTTTCAGAACAGTTTGTACCATATGATAGTGTGGGGTGGGGCTTGTAGCACAGTGCCTGGCCCAGGCAGGTGCCTTCACAAATGTGTGTTGAAACATAAACACCCCAGAGGTGCCAGATGTGATCTCCGACAGGAAAGAGCTCAGTGGGGCTGTGGTCACCCGTGTTCCAGGCTCTGCGGCTTGTAAGTCCGGCAACGCAGTCCCACTTCTGGCTCAAACCGCAGGCAACTTGCTGCCAGTGAGATGGGTTGGAACACCGGGGCCCTAAGGTTAGTCTCCCTTCTTACAGTCTTCGGTTCTAAAACCCCCAGTTCTTGTCAAATTGACCCCAGTTGACACCAGGGCAGGACAGCACAAGAGCAGGGCTGTAGGCAACAGCATAGTGCAACCCAGCGGGGACTGGGGAGGTTGTCACTCTGCCAGCAAACAGGAAGCCCCACTCTGGACCCTGGGGCCCTGGGGCCCTCCCAGCCTGTGTCTGACTCTTCTCCCCTCCCAGACAGGACTGGCACGGCCCCCCAGCCAGCAAGAGCTCTGAAGGATGCGGCGAAGCCCCTCCCATCCTGGTCCAGCTGCCAGCCTTCCCCACTTCCTTCTCTCTCCTAGTCCCTCACCAGGCTGCACATCCTCTGGGCAGCTTTTTTAAATTACTGATTCCTGGGTCCTAGACATTTCATTTAATGAGTCTGGCCTGGGGCCCAGGCAATGGGGCTCTTCACACGCCCCCAAGTGGTTCCAAGGTACAGACGGAGGTGAGAAGCAGAGCCCTAGGACCTGCGAGGACCACGGGCTTCCTGCCGCTGAACCGTGCTCACTGCCCTCCCCCAGCCCTGGCATCCTGAACTTCCTGTTTATCGAGTGAAAAGCAAGTGCTGAGGCGCCCAAGGGCCACCCACTGTCTCCCTGCCTTGCCCTCCCCACTGGAGCCTGTGCTGCCTCTGGGGCATTCTGGCTGAAGGGCTTCACCTGCCCCTAAATCCCCATAAGCCCCCAACCCCTCCATGTGGCCCCAGAATCCAACCTACCCCAGAAACTGTAGGGAGGCATTGGCCCTGAGCCCCTGGGCCAGCACCTGGGCTCCCACGGCAGTGATGTGGTTATTCCCCAGCCTGGAAGGGAAGACAGAAGAGGCTGAGAAAAAGCGCAGGACATGAGGACAGGGTAGTGCCCTGAGGCCTGGGTCTGGTGGAGGAAATGCGGCCTGGACAGAGAAACCTGAAAAATGCTTTGGGGACCTCTCTGCAGAAGGCAGGAGTCAGCCCTGCAGACGCAGCATGTGCCGTCCGAGCTCAGGAGCTTATGCGGTGGCTCCTGCGACTTCATTTTGTACCAGCCAGGGGAAAAGTGTGGGTGCTGTTTTGCAAAGCAGTGCGACAGGTCTGGGCAGGAGCCACAGAAGGCAGCGGTCCCTGGAGGTGGTTTCCCAGAGAAGCACGGTGACTCACTGTCACACCTTTCCCTCCTGTCTCAGCCATCTACTGGCACTAGGCAGGTGTGCCCCCTGCAGCCTTCTCCGGTCCACCACCCTTGCTGCAGGTAGTGCCCCCCTGTTCCCAAAGAGCCTGGGGCAGGCCCAGGGCTGGAAGAGGAGAGAGCCTGCTAAGCCTTCAGGAGGGGCTCAGGGAGGGGATGTCAGCAAAATCCAGACACTTCAGAGAGTTCCAGAGAGGCCCCCAGAACTCTCACCCACAAACCCAGGCTTCCTGGAATAATAGCACACTTTCATCTTTTCGAAGAACTTTCATACGCTTTAAGCCACTCCAACTCACAACGATCCTATCAGGCAGGTATTATTAACCCCTTTGAGAAGGGGTGTGGTGGCCTCTCAGGTTGTGTAACCAGGGGCCCCAGCTCTGTGCTGGGAAATCCAATGTCACTCCTGAACCAAGGCCCACTTCCCACAGCCTGCTCCCAGCCAGGGACTGCGAGACGTGAGACTACTCTGATGGGCAAACGTGTCTGGAGGACTCCCAACAGCCTTCTGTAAGCTCTCAGAACTGCACTGAAGTCTAAGAAGTCCTCCCAACCCTCCTTCCTTCACTCCCTCTCTCCCTCACTCAAGTCGGACTTGGGTTGCATCTGATGACTCTCCCAGCCTCCACCAGCTCCCTTCCCCATTTCCTCTCATAGGCATTTCCCCAATAAATCAGCTAGTCCTTCCTTGGAAGACTGGACTGATATGGATAGATAAACATGCTAAGAGCTTAGCTGACTTCCCCACGACCTGTCACTCACTACATAAAGCACTTGCTGTTTTGTGCATATGCATATTAACTCACTTCATCATCACAACAGCCTAGGAGGTAGCTGTTATTACTACCTCCTTTTTACAGAAGGGGAAACAGAGGCACACAGTGGGCTGACCCAAGGTCACACAGATAATGAGGACCAAATCTCAGGGATCCTGAGCTCAAACCTCGGTCGGTCTGGCTCGAGAGCCCCAGGCTCTCAACTGCAACGCTCTGTGAGCAGACACCCAGGCCAGAAGCCTTCCGTGTACCCAAAGCCACGTTCAGGTCTGTGAGTGTGGGTGGAGGGGGAAGCAGGTGGTGGCAGCAGAGGAGACTCCTTTGTACAGAATGGCACCTCCGGTGTTGGCCTCAGCAGCCCTGCCCGAGACTGACCGACATGGTCAGCAACTGAAAAACGGCAGCTCGCATCCCCCAAGCCAGCCCAGCGGGTAGAAAGAGTGGATGGGAGCAACTCCTCACTTTCTCTTCTTTTACTGCCTTGTCAATCCAGGAGGCAAGGATGTCCCAGAGAGAAAGAGAGGCCAGGTCAAGCCGGGGACCAGCTGGAGAGGGATGTAATGGTGTCAGAGAGTGTCTGAGAGACTCCAGTTGAAGCCAGAAGGGTCGGGAGTAGCAGAAATGCAGGCTTCCCAGGCTGGAGTGCAAACCCTACACCCACCAAGCAGCTGAAAGGACCTTCTGGGACCTAACTGGGGGCCACAGCTGTGGTGGCAAGTGATTGCGGCATGTCTCCATCCCCCCACCCCCCCACACCTCCACACTCACACCCAGCATGTGCTCAACGTATAGCAGGGGACTTGGTAACCCAGGGAGTTTGTGACACTCATACACAGGCAAGGAAAAGGAAAACCTCTGTGGGGGTTAAAGGTCAAAGGGCAGGAAGCCCTCAGCAGAACGGGTCCAGGGTTTGCTCGGAAGGTCACAGCATTGCCAAACCCTGCTCAAAAGGGGACCTTGCTCTGTATTCAGCCAGATCACAAGCCCGGTATGGGCTGAGCCAGGGCCGAGACCAGACTATACTGATTGAGCTGAGGGAGAAAGGAAACCAGTTTGCAGGGACTGGGACGCCCGAGGCTCACCTCAATGCCAAGAAATTCCGCCTGCACTCGAGGAGCCTGGCCATGGAGTGTGCACAGCCGTCCGTCAATTTGTTGTTGAACAGACTGGAAAGTTCCAAGAGGAGACATGGAGACGAGGCACAGTGCCACCCAAACCCTCAGGACAGGAGCCGCCCTGCACCCTTCAGCCACGCAAACACCCCCCCAGCCCATCACTCGCTCACAGCGGCCCCCAGGGGTCATGGCCCAGAGTGCGGCTGGGGACACAGGGCCCAATCAATGTTCCCAGCCCGGCCCGACATACGCTAACTTCTGAAGCTGCTCACAGTGAAGGGCGTGTTCGACGAGTTTGCAGATGCCCCGGTCTGAGATGTTATTATCTCGCAGGCTAAAAAGAAACCAAATAAATAAATTTAAAACGGAGCTCATGAGAGAGGGGAATGAAAAAAAAAATGATCAAAACCCCAAGAGACTTTCATTCATCCCCAAACAGCCAGCATCTGTGCTTCTGGGAAACACTGCAAGGACTGAGCACCCCAGAAAAGTAGAGGCTCCCCCGTCCCTGGCCACAGTGCTGACATCATGCACGATGTGGGGGACCACACAGGAAGTGGGGACCCAGAGTGCCAGCTAAAGAGCACTGGAATCCCCCGGGAGTCACGGGCCTAATCTGAGGCACGGCTTCCAGCTGTGGGAGAGGAGCATGGGTATCAGAGCAGCCTCCCGGAAGGTTCCGAGCGGGGAGGAGCATGGGAAAGGCGCAGCAGGAAGGAGACAGGCTGCCCCTGGGGGCTGCGGCGGTGGTTACCACCGGCCAGGTGAGCACAGGGCAGTCCAGTGAGAAACGTTGGAGAACCAGCATGCAGACTGTGGTTAGTGAGGCCCTGCTGTCCAGCCCTCCACTCCAGTGGCATCACTCCTGCAGGCCCGATCCTGCCTTCTGACACGCCTCTTGGGTCAGTGTTTCCAAAATTCACTTGATCACAAGATCTTCTGGAAGAGTCCCTAAAATACAGACTCCTGGGTCCCTCCCCTGCAGCTGGCAATTCTGCGTGTGTGGGGTGGGGCCCAGGGACCTGTGTATTTTGACAACTGTTTATTTTGACAACTCCCTTCAAACTTGGGAGGCCCTGACTTCAATGTTAATAGCTCATGCTCTGGAATCCAGTCAGTGAAAGCTCTGATCAGGAGCATTCACTCCCTCACTTGCTATCTGCTAAAAGATAAGCCCCGGTGATGATTTAAAGAGACAGTGCACATAAAGCTCTGTGAGCACCTGGCACGGGGTAAAAGCTATCTGTAAGCACGACCCCTCACAGGTGTGAAGCGTCTGACACACTGGCGCTGTCCTAAGCACGTCCTGATAGCAACAGTATTTAATCGTCACAAGCCCATGGAGCAAGCAGAGAGCAGGAAACAGAGGCACAGACAAGTCAGGTGACTTTGCCACAGTTGCACAGCGACTAAAAGATCTGGGCCTATGTGGTCTGCCTGCAGAGCCCGCTCTGAACTTGGACATGGACCGGCCTCTCCCCAAGTGCTTTTCAGACTGCGGGTCATGAAATCAACTTGGAAGGTCACGAGCAGCAGTTTTTAATGGAAAAAGAGTAGAAAAGAAAGAGAAAGCAGAGTGTGTCAGAGTTAATAACGGACAGTCATTTTGTGAAGCTTTTGTGTCAGTTTTACATGAGCTCTCTCTCTCTCTCTCTGTCTGTCTCTCTCTCTCTCTCTCTCTCTCTCTCTCTCTCTCTCACACACACACACACACACACACACA